ATCAAATTCAATACACAAAAAATGAATAATACAATTTAAAAATGGGCAGAAGACATAAATAGACACTTTTCCAAAGAAGACATACAGATAGCCAACAGACACATGAAAAGATGCTCAACATCACTCATCATCAGGGAAGGGTAAATCAAAACTGTAATATCACTTCACACCTCTTAGAATAGCTAAAATCCGGGCGCCTGGGTGGCACAGTCGGTTAAGCGTCCGACTTCAGCCAGGTCACGATCTCGCGGTGCGTGAGTTCGAGCCCCGCATCGGGCTCTGGGCTGATGGCTCAGAACCTGGAGCCTGTTTCCGATTCTGTGTCTCCCTCTCTCTCTGCCCCTCCCCCGTTCATGCTCTGTCTCTCTGTGTCCCAAAAATAAATAAACTTTGAAAAAAAAAAAGAATAGCTAAAATCAACAACACAGGAAACAAGTGCTGGCAAAGATGTGGAGATAGGGGAACACTCTTGCATTGTTGGTGGGAATGCAAACTGGTGCAGCCATTCTGGAAAACAGTATGGAGTTTCCTCAAAAAGTTAAAAATAGAACTACCCTACAATCCAATCCAGTAATTGCTCTACTAGGTATTTACCCAAAGAATGCAAAAATACTAATTCAAAGGGATACATGCACCCTGATGATATAGCAACATTATCTTTAATAGCCAAATTACAAAAACAGCCCAAATGTCCATTGACTGATGAATGGATAAAGATGTATATATACAATGGAATATTATTCAGCCATAAAAAAGAATGAAATCTTGCCAATTACAGTGATATGGATGGAGCTACAGAGTATTATGCTAAGCAAAATAAGTCAGAGAAAGATAAATATTGTATGATTTTGCTTATATGTGGAATCAAGAAAGCAAGCAAATGAGCAAAGGGGAAAAAGAGAAAGAAAGAGGTATACCAAGAAACAGACTCTTATTAGAGAATAAAGTGATGATTACCAGAGGGGAGGTGGGTGGGGGGATGGGTTAAATAGGTGATGGGGATTAAGGTGTGCACTTGTGATTAGCGCTGGGGTATGGTATGGAAGTGTTGAATCACTATATTGTACACCTGAAACTAATATTATAAACTGTATGTTAAATAACTGGTATAAAAGAAAAACTTTAAAAAAGGGTATAATTTTCAAAATGGCTCAATACTGCTGCGAAATTAAATTCCTCTGATGATTCCTATTTAGTCAATAGTCCACTTCATCTCCCTTAGACATAAAATTGACCCATTTACATGGTAGTGTCAGTAATGACCAATCTCTTTTTGGTGTCAAAGCCTACTACCGAGGGAGGAGCACATTTCTTCTATTGCTTCAGACTCTCTAAAGATGCTCTATTTTTCTAGGTCTCTTTTCTACTCAGCCCTGAAATTGTCTCCTTGAATCCCTCTAAAAGTGCCTGTCTAGCAACTGCTACTTACCTTTCCTGTTAGATTACTTTCCTGTGGAACATTATCAAAAGTTATTGACTAAGGTACCTCTGTACTTTTCAATGTGTTAATTCCCAAATTGAGCTATTTTATTTTTTATTATTTTATTTTATTATTTTATTTTATTTATTATTTTATTTTATTTTATTTTTTGGTTCTTCTGCATTCCTACCTTTGTTTTTTTCTTCTTAAGTGTTTTCTTCCACCTTGTAAAAGTGGAAAATGAAGATAATACTGGAAAGCATGGAAACAATAAAGGTCATCCAAAATGCCATCAGAATTAATATTTCTGAACATCACACACACACACATATAACTTTATAAATCATGTTACTTTTTTGATGGAAGGCAGGGTGAGCTAGTAGAAAGAGACTAAGGTGTAGATCCCATCCCAGCTTTGCCATTTACTGATCATGTGACCTTGAGTGATGTCCTTATTTTTTCCTTCACCTATTAAAAGAAGGGCTAATAACACCTATCTCTTGGGGTTTTTTGGTAAAGTTAAATAGTCACTCAATAAATGTAAATATATTTTTCCCTTTCTTTTAATCATTGACCTTAATATTGGAGGGCCTTCCTAGAGTTCATTAACCAACTCTTGTTCATCTCATAGTATTTGACTGCAAGTATCCGGAGCACAGAGACCATCTCTTATTAAAATTTGAAGACCAGCACCCAACATTTAAGTTGGCTATATTCTGGCTAAATAAATTAGGTTCTATGATGAAGAGTTTGCCTGTGGGCTTCTATTTGGAATGGTTGACTCTGGGTTCATTTAAACTGCATCTCATATTCTATTTGCTATCTTCATTCTTAAACCTGCCTATATTTTCTTCTAGTTTCAATTAAAAATGCAGCTAAGTGATTTTAAGCAAGTCATTTACTCTATAGTTTCCTCGTTTGTAAAAACAGTAATTTCATAATAGTACTTCCTAAACTTTATAAACATGATAGTACTTCCTAACTGCAAACTGCTATACAAATATTTGTTACTACTATAGAAGCTAGTTCATTGTGCATTTTATTTTAAAATTTATTTTTTATTTATTTTGAGAGAGAGATCAGGGGAGGGGCAGAGAGAGAGGAAGAGAGAGAATCTCAAGCAGGCTCCACACTGTCAGTGCAGACTTACAGCATAGTGTTATAAGTTTGAGATAATATGTGTGAAGCACTTTATAACACTGGGACATTGTAAACACTCAGTAAATATCAACTATTAAAATTATGATAGCCCCCGCCCCCCCCCCCCCAATGGCTCAGTTAATTGTCTGACTCTGGATTTTGGCTCAAGTCATGATCTCAGTTTGTGAGTCTGAGCCCTGAATCAGGCTCCGCACTGGCAGTGTGGAGCCTGCTTGTGATTCTCTCTGTCCCTCCCCTGCTTGCTCTTTCCCTCTCTCAAAATAAATAGACTTAAAGAAATTACTATAAACTGATAAGTGGTTGACAACAGGTGAGAAGGTAAAGCAAGAGTTTGAAAGTTCAGAGAATCACTGAATGTTAATTTCAGTACTGTATTTTCTCATAAACTTCTCCCTTCTTACGCCCTAATTCTAGACTGAAATACTTTTTTTTTTTCCCTATAAAATTTCCCTCTGTTGGTCAGATTTTTTTTTGAGAGAGAGACTCCCAAGCAGCTGATGGCAGACAGCCCAACTTGGGGCTCGATTTCACTAACTGAGACCATGACCTGAGCCGAGATCAAGAGTCAGACATTTAACCGAGCTACCCAGGCACCCTGGTCAGACTTTTTTTTTAACAGCATCAGTTCAAAATATTTGGAGGCAGTAAGTTTGACTATTTTTGTGCTTTGTTGTATATGCAAGAATAGCCATGTTTCCAATTTGTATAACCTGAACTTTTGTCATCCAGTTTCCTGCTGGTATAATTGGAAGCAGGGATAGGGAGTAAAGAGGAAGGCAGGATTTAAAGCTTTGCTTCACAGCATTTTAGATACTAGAGGCAAAGGTCTTTTCTCTCTCTCTCTTTAATAAATGTTCATTTTTGAGAGAGAGAGCGAGAGAGAGAGAGAAGGAGAGAGAGTCAGAGAGAGAAAATCCCAGGTAGGCTCTGCGCTGTCAGCAGAGTCCAGTGCAGGGCTGGAACTCAAGACCTGAGCTGAAGTCCTATGCTTAACTGACTGAGCCACCCAGGCTCAAGCAACGGTCTTTCATAATGGCATGCAGAGACAACATTCACCTGACAAAGTTGCCATATACTGAGTTTGCTTTTAACATTCTTTATCCTCTTCCATGACATCCAGAGACCTCATGATTTCTCTAATTGCAAAAACCAAGAGTCTCTATGGGCTATAAAACCTATGTTCAGGTTCGATATTGCAAATGTACTGCACGTTGGCCATGTCTACTTCTGAATGTTTTAAGTTTGGCCTGCAGATTTCTGAATATTGGTTGCCAACATTTAAAAACCCAGAGATTTCAAGGGGTGCCTGGGTGGCTCAGTCGGTTAAACATACGACTTTGGGGGGCGCCTGGGTGGCGCAGTCGGTTAAGCGTCCGACTTCAGCCAGGTCACGATCTCACGGTCCGTGAGTTCGAGCCCCGCGTCAGGCTCTGGGCTGATGGCTCGGAGCCTGGAGCCTGTTTCCGATTCTGTGTCTCCCTCTCTTCTGGCCCTCCTCGGTTCATGCTCTGTCTCTCTCTGTCCCAAAAATAAATAAAAAACGTTGAAAAAAAATTAAAAAAACAAACAAACAAACAAAAAAACATACGACTTTGGTTCAGGTCATGATCTCATGGTTTGTGAGTTCAGCCCCGCATCGGGTGCTGTGTTGACAGCTCAGAGCCTGGAACCTGCTTCGGATTCTGTGTCTCCCTCCCTCTCCCGCTGTCTCTCATAAATAAATAAAAGTTAAAAAAAAAACAACCAACAACCAGAGATTTCACACAAAAACCCAGTTTTAGGGTTTCTCTTGGGAAAAAACCATCTATCTCAGAACACTGGACCCACATGCCTATAGGCAACAATCTGCTAGAGCTGAACAGCTGCTCCTTTCAGTTACACCACGGACAATAATTTGCCACATTTCTTATTATTCTCCGTTGTCTTATATATACAAGGCCAATTTCACTCATTTGCTTTACTTTTCTGGCCTTCGTAGACATGTGAGTCTGCAAGCCCTATCTAGACTTTCCTGTCTCCCATCAAAGCTTACTTTGTTCCAAGTCCCTCACAAGTATTTCAAAGCAATAGCTAGGTAAGCTGATCAACTGTATTTTTACATGTGCTTTCTGGAGATAGTATCTTCACAAAAAGGATGACTGTGCACATGGAAATTATAGGCACCACGGGATTAGTCAGGATGGCAGCTGTTCATTCTACTTTTTCTGCTATCCTGGCGTAACTATACCTCACAGTCTTAAAGCAAACCAAAGGAATTGGTTCTCTGTAGAACAATGAATACCGGCCTATGTGTGAAACCTACTTAACTAGTACTTTTATAGATCACCCTGGTTCCAAACGACCAAAAGCTATGGGCTGTTCTGACTCCCCGTTTCCTCGGAGGCTTCAGGATATCCGGCCTGACGGCATTTCCCCATACCTGCTTTCGGGGCTCGCTTTGCGCTGGGCAGGCGCGCCCAAGAAGCGCGCGCATCCAGCATGAGCTCATTTCTCAGGGGCGTTTCCAGGAGGCCCGGCCTGGCTGCGCACACCAGGCGCGGTCGGCCTATCAACGGCCCCCGCAGCTGAGCAGGGCGCGAGCGCCCAGAAGCGCTGCCTCTCTGAAAGCTTTGTTACTATTTTAGCGACTAAGAGTTCGCACCCGGCCGGGTAGGCGTCCTAGTTCCGTCTGGCCCTTTCAGGGAAGACGCTGATTCTCGGCACGCGCTATCCCGGGCGGAGGGGAGGCTCGGGCGCGCAGATTTAGCCGCGCCGGGGAGAGAACCTCTTCGTGGGTGGGGAGAGCCCCTAAATTCCGTTCGCTTGAGCGCTCCGAGCCCAGCGCCGCTGACCGCAGCAGTTTCGGACCGGCTGCGCAGTGCCTGCGCTCCTGATCTGCGGTTTCCACAACGGCTGAGAGCAGCCGCAGGCAAGCCCGTCACAAGGTCCGCCACGACCCTAGTCGAGCTTCCCTCCGCTCCTGGGACCGCCGCCGGAGGCGGAAGGCCAATCACACTGCATCTAGGTCTTGCGATTGGACGGCAGTGAGTGCCGATTGGCTGCCGCTACGGGTTTCGGCCTCCCTCCTTTTCCCTTTTGCCCCCACTCCAGCTACAAGGGTTCAGGCCAATGAGAAGGCGCTTTATAGATGCCCTCCCTTTTCTTTCTTCTTCTCTCCACCCTGGAGAGGGAGGAGACATTCTGACTGGCCAGACTGTCCTCGGAAGCCCCCCTCGCTTCGCCAATCACCGAGGGAGGTACACTCCCAGCGGAGTTTTCGGCCAATTACAAAGCGGCCGCGGCGCCCGACCGTGCTATTTCACCAGTGACTCCGGGTTTCACCGTCCTTAACTCTTCAAGCTTTTTCGTGAGGGCCGGCGATTTTGATTGGCCACTGGTGCCATTGTCGAATTTCTGTTCTAGCCAGCCACTGAACGAGGAGAACCCACCTTTTCGTTCGGCTATTTTCGGCATTTTCCGCTTTTTGGGCGTGGATTTCCAGCGACACTTCCTAATTGGTTTCTCAGGTCGATCGGCTTTTTCCGGGAGGAGCCACAAACAATCGACGTCCGTGATTGGCTCCGCTCGGGCTTCGGCCCCGTAGCCTAAGTGGGCGGGAGCGGGGCTCGGCCGGCGATTCCCAGACGCCTGTTACGCGGGTGGCGGGGCGCTGGGCGGTGTAAGGCTGGGTGGGGGAGGAAGGAGGCGGAGGACGAGTAGGAGGGGGGAGGGGGAGTGGGGGAGAGCTAGGCGGCTGCGCAGACGGCGCTCCTCACACAGAACAGCCCCCGACCCGGGCGAATGCAGGATTGTGCTGCTGCTGCCGCTGCCGCCGCCGCCACCCGGGCCGAGTGACAAAGGAAGGAAGGAAGCGAGGAGGAGCCGGCCCCGCAGCCGCTGACAGGGCTCCGGGCTGGGGGCAAAGCGCGGACACTTCCTGAGCCGGCACCGAGCAGAGGCGAGGGGCGGGAGGGCGGCCGCACTGGTGCCGCGGACGGGGGAGGGGGCCCCGAGGGACGGAAGCGGTTGCCGGGTTCCCATGTCCCCGGCGTATGGGGAGCAGTCGAGGATCCGCTGCCTGGGGTCTGAAGGGAGCTGCCTCCGCCACCGCCGCCGCCATGGCCGCTGGATCCAGCCGCCGCCTGCAGCTGCTCCTGGCGCAATGAGAAGAGGAGCCGCCGCCACCGCCCGCCTCTGACTGACTCGAGACTCCGCCGCCCTCCAGTTCGCCGGGCCTCCGCCGTCAGCCCGCCGGATCCCGCCGCTGCCGGAGCCGCAGCGTTTCCCGTCGCATCTCCGAGCCACCCCCCCTCCCTCTCCCTCCTTCCCATCCCCCCTTCTTTTCAAGCGTGAGACTCGTGATCCTTCCGCCGCTTCCCTTCTTCATTGACTCGGAAAAAAAATCCCCGAGGAAATTATAATATTCAAAGTACTTATTTTCAATCAAGTATTTGCCCCCATTTCACGTGATATATATTTTTTAAGAATCTCCCCTCCCTTTTTCCCCTCCAAGGAAACGGAGGGGAAAGAACTGCATTTTTTTCCCAGTCCCAAATCATCTATATGTTAAATATCCATACTGATTTGTCTTGAAGGAGAAACATCGCTTGTTTTTTTATAGCTGTACAAAAGGAGTGAAAAGCCAAGAGGAAGAAGTCTATTTTTTTTTCCTTCTTGTGGAAGAACTTAATGCTGCATTTATCATTAACCTAACACCCCAACATAAAACAAAAGGAAGAAAAGGAGGAAGGAAGGAAAAGAGGGTGATTCGGAAAGAGAGTGATCATGTCAGGGCGGCCCAGAACCACCTCCTTTGCGGAGAGCTGCAAGCCAGTGCAGCAGCCTTCAGCTTTTGGCAGCATGAAAGTTAGCAGTGAGTATTGATTTTATTTTACACCCCTTCTTCACCTCATCCTTAAGATAAAAAACCTTTAATAACCAGGATCTTAAAATATCAGACCTCCTGATATGATAATCAGAGGTAATGGAAAAGGGCAAAAACCTATCTTCAGTCAAGGATAAGGCTGCTCCCTCTTTTCTCCTCCCTTACCCCCTCCCCTGGTCTCATTAACCTTGAATTGAGAGAATATGCTTTTTATTTGGATGATTTAGTTTGAAACATGTTTTCTTTTCTTATACTTTTTGTGCTGCTGGTATTCCGCTTTATCAAGTGCTTGAGTATTTCCATGTTAAAGTAGTGATGAGTGTTTACTTGCTCATCTTTTTGAATAAAGAGAAGGACAAGACTTGATTCCATTCATTTTGTACATTTGCGGAATATATGTCTTTTGGAAAGAGGCATATATCTTAGTTAGCTCAGGTCTTAGGTGTTACCATAGTTTTGTATACTTCCTAGAAACACTAAATGTCACAGTCTCCTAACAATTGTTTCTTGCCTGTGTGACTACAAAGTGTTTGTTCTTAATCCAGAGATGAACTTAATTCAGTTACCATTCAGGTTTGTAGGCGAGCATGGAGTTCTCCCTTTAGAAAAGGTCCGTAGGAGCTGGTAGAGACTTAGTAGCAGTAGTATCTCTTCAGGCATTGTTTTAAATTGAATACGTGATTTAATGTTTTTTTAACCTTCTCGTTTTGACATTACCAGTTTACCACTATGTAATTTACATTTAATCAAAAGGTAACTTGGAAGTAGGTCCAGGTTTTGATTGAGGTTTATATTGTCATGTTGCCAAATACTACGTTGAATGTTAATTGTCACTGACTCATCAAGTTCAGTTTTGGGGTGTCATTGCATTCAGCCCTTGTTAAATGAGCTAGAAGTCAGGGGTCCCTTCTATTTTAAATCGGACGATTTAAAATACTCTTGCATTGGTTTCCTGTCACATTTAGGTAAAACTATGGGTTTAGTTATGAGAATATGGATTTAGACCTTTCTGTCATGGGTTTTGCTGAAGGCTGTGGTCCTGGATATAATAGAGATATTTGAGCTTGTGTTCAGGGTTGTTTCCGAACTGTACTTTTGTCCTAGATTTGTGCTGAAAAGTCTGTGTTCTTGAGGTTTTTGGTATAGTTTTGAGCTTGTGTTCAGGGTTGTTTCCGGACTGTACTTTTGTCCTAGATTTGTGCTAAAAAGTCTATGTTCTTGAGGTGTTTGGTGTAGTAAGTTCCAGTGTTCCAGGATGTGGAACCATATTTAGTGATAGCTTATTTAAACCATACTTCCAGAATTTGACAAAAATATCTACATTGTTTCCTTATTCCTCAAGAAGGGGACAAGATGAGGGCAAAGAAAACCCATTTTGTTGCCTAGAAGGAGAGAACTGAAGAACTGAGATTTTTAAAAAATCTGTAAATGCTCCTATGTGAAATTTATTATATCCTTAAGGAACATAAAATTATCACTTTTAATTGAACTCAGGGTTTCAATTCATGTTGGCTTTTGGACTTGCCTGAACCAGGGTAGTCTAAGGTAGTAACTGAATGGCAGATTATTTTTAAAAGTTATTTATCTATTATTTATTTACTTTTGTGACTAGTGCAGAATGCAGGGTGTGTGAGGAGGGGAGCTGATGATGCATTTTTCAGGGAAGAATCAAGCTTTCTAAGCACTTCATGGGGTCATTTGAAAGGAATATTTTAAAATTCTGGGGTAATTTTCAGCTATGATGAGGCAGATCTTATAATAGCTACTTAAGAGCCTCTTGTGATACTGGAGTGTTTGTATGTTTTTCATCTTGGTAGTGTAGTTTAAAATCCACTAAAAATCAGTTTTAGGTAATTATTTTATTAGATCAATTTCAGAGCTCAAAATAGAATAGCTTATAATGTTAAATTTTTGGACTTTTCATTTTGTTTTCGGGATTTTCTTCGAAAATGACTCCTTATATCTTGGTAGCGTGGATGTTGACGGAGGATGGAGTAACTCTTGTAAAGTGTGTAGGTTAAAGTGTTTAATTTTCTATTACCATATAGTTTAACTTAACATTTAAAAACTTGGAGTTCAATGTGTTTTTGACCACTTGACTTTAAGGACAGTTTAGAAGAAAGGGGAATCATTAAACATTTGTTAGTGCTACTGTTCTAAGGAACCCCTGTTCAAAAGAGAGATGCATAAAGAAATTGAAGTCCTTGGATTCAAAAGCTTATCGTTTAGTTGTAGAGGCAGTTTATGGGAAAAAGTAGGAAAACAATAGCATGGTGACTGCAAGATTATGAATACAAATAGAAATGCTTTGTTCAGAGGGATGAAGACTACAGGGGTGAGGCATCTTGGTTGGAGAGGAAAGACTTCCTGCAGAGATGGGTTTTAAGACAGGTGTTAAAGGAGGCAGTCACTTGAATTTATAGAGAAGCATAAAGGATTCTAGGTGGAAGGAATGGGCAGAGGCGCAGAGATGGTATTTTCTTGTATGGTAGGTAGATAATTTTTGTACTTAAAAAGCAAGTTGGTAAATCTGAATTAAAGGGTCTTAAATGGGAAAATAAGAACAGATAGAATTTGGGAAATGTGTTTTTGATAGCTGATGGAGGACAGAGGGGGCCTGTAAGAGTTTGGTTGAGGTTCAAGAGAGTTTAGGATTGTTAGAGTTAGGTTGTTGAACAAGATATTTGAAGATGATTTGGGCAGCTGAATTAATGGCTTACAGTAGTCATTGGAGCCCTTTTAGGGAGATAGTAGGGGATGTTGTGAATCATGAGAAAATATAAAATAAAATGTGAAAATGGTATGAAAATAACACGTTTGAGAGGTGGTGTGAATGAGGAACTGGCAGGACTTTGGATTGGATCGAAGGGGAATATTTGGGAAGGAGTCAGGAGTTAAAAATAAATTCTGATGTTGTTGGTCTGGAAGACTTGACCTGCTGAGTTATATTGCCGATTGTAATGGGAAAGTTGAGAAAGTGCCTTGATGAGAGGGTAGATGAGTTCACTTTTTAATAATTTAATGTACAGTAGGTTCCCTTGAAGTTCAGACAGCATTTGGTTACTGGCAATGATATTTAACTTTACAACCTATTAATTGCACAGTTTCTAACTTTTCTTCCCCTAAAAATGTTGGATTTATTTTTTTAGAGCAATAAACTAAGGGTTTTAATTTAAATGCTTTCCATTGAAGTCTTAAAAAAGAAAGTAATTTTTTTTTTAATTTTTTTTTCAACGTTTTTATTTATTTTTGGGACAGAGAGAGACAGAGCATGAACGGGGGAGGGGCAGAGAGAGAGGGAGACACAGAATCGGAAACAGGCTCCAGGCTCTGAGCCATCAGCCCAGAGCCTGACGCGGGGCTCGAACTCCCGGACCGCGAGATCGTGACCTGGCTGAAGTCGGACGCTTAACCGACTGCGCCACCCAGGCGCCCCAAAAAGAAAGTAATTTTTTATGTAGATTCAAAAGCCTCACACTTGACCCTAGTTATAATAGTTCCATGGTAATTTGTTGGAAAACAATGGAAATATTTTTTGGACTAAACTGTGACGTAAAAATAGGTGTTTTAACTAGCCTTTAATTTAGTCTTTGGAACATGCTTAAAACCTGTTTTTCATAAATAATGATTATTCTTAGGTAAACCTTGCATTTAAAATAATGATAATAATAATAGTAATAATAGCAGCCTTTACTTGGTTTGTGAAGGCTTCAGTAGAAATTAAAAGTTGACTTTACAACAAAATGCTTTTTGCCTTTTTGGTTGAGTTAAGCCTGCATCCTAAGTTTGAATCATGTATTTAAATTGTGTATTTGAAATATTGCTTTTTACTTACTATGGTGAAACCAGTGTTTCTTTTTTGTTCACATACAGACTCAAGTGTTACTAAATAAACGTTAATAGCTACACAATTCCTTCTGTAGAATTACGTGATATTTTATTCAAAAAAGAGAAGGAAAGGGACTATCTGTGGTGGTTTTGTTTAAAATATTAGTAACAAATGCTTTTGGTATACTCTTGGCACAAATTTAACTAATTGGGTAGGCTTAATGCTTAAGTATAACATTTGGAAAGAGGAAAATATGTGAGTATCTCTTAATTAGGTCAGGTTTTTTTTTTTTTAGTCAAAGAATAATTAATAGAAGTTGTATATTGTGCAGTATTTAGTCGTATAGTATTAAAACCAAAGATTACGTGGCATCCTAGAGTTACTGTATTCCCAAGGGAGTGTAATCTTGTGACATTTAAAAATTAGGTTATCAGAATTAGGCAATTTCTAAATCAGTCATGTTTACGTGGAAGAGAGCTTGTGTATGAGACTGAAAGCTAGAACGTTACTTTCATTAAATTTTCATTCCTTTCCTTGGGGCGCCTGGGTGGCACAGTTGGTTAAGCGTCCGACTTCAGCCAGGTCACGATCTCGCGGTCCGTGAGTTCGAGCCCCGCGTCGGGCTCAGGGCTGATGGCTCAGAGCCTGGAGCCTGTTTCCGATTCTGTGTCTCCCTCTCTCTCTGCCCCTCCCCCGTTCATGCTCTGTCTCTCTCTGTCCCAAAAATAAATAAACGTTGAAAAAAAAAATTAAAAAAAAATTTTTTTTCATTCCTTTCCCAACCAGATCATTCCAGAGTTTTTCAAACACTAAGACTTTCATCTAAGAATTGCATGCTCTCTTGATGCATGCATCTGTAGAATGCTATTGTGAAATGACTATAAGGCACA